AAAAAAAAAAAAAAAAAAAACACATCATAGTAAAACCAATACCTTCTCAGCTTCGCATCGAAGCTAATTATCGATAATAATTTAATCAGATTAATGTTGCCTATTATATAACAAAAATAATTTATTATTCAAATAATAAATTAATGATGAATTTTTATTTTAAATTTGAATCTTTAACACAATTTTGAAATTCATTAATTGATAGTATAAATAAATTATAAAAACAAAATGTTTAGAATTTTTATTCTATTACATCATCAAATTAAAAATAGAGATTCCCATTAAAGAAAGTAAAAGTTTAGATTATATTTATCCCTGAAGAGATGAGAAAATATAATTCAACTACATATTATTTTAATCAAACTTATATTATTTTTAAAAATCGAAAATATTCAATAGTTTATGAGAAAATGAGTCTCTTATACTTAATCGATCATCCTGTATTTGAAAAAAATATTTAAGTATTTTATAATATTTAAACTTTAGATATTTTTTATACCAGACTGTAATTTATAAACATCAATTGTACTTTAAATTGAANGATATTTTTTATACCAGACTGTAATTTATAAACATCAATTGTACTTTAAATTGAAATGCTTAAAAAATAAAATTAATTTAGTTTTGTTTATGAAAAACCGATCAATGTTTATGGTAATAACGAATTAATGATGCAAAGCTTTTTAAAATAAAAACATAGGACTCATTTAATTATATTTCCACCCCATTCGGCATCTTGTAAGCCACCCCGAAACTTCTGTTAGATATTACTTCAGGGTAAACTACCAAAAAATCTACTGATAAAGAGAATAATAAATTATAATTTAATTTATGTCAATTAATAGCGGTACATTAATGGACGTATTGTGAACTCGTCGCAGATTTATAAGTGGCAGATATCTTTACATTAAAAACTACTGATAAAATTGCCAAAATATATTAATCGTTTAGCATACAAAAGTTTGAAAACTATATGTCTGATATAGCTCATAATTTATTAACTATAGGTTATTATTATATTTTAATTTAATATTTATAAAGTATAAACTAATTGACTTGTAAAATATGAAGTTCGATATATTTAATGATATAGATTGAGTAAATAATATTTTATTTTCATGTATTACTCTGTAAAATATTTTAATTTTTTTATTTTACTTTAAAATAATTATAATTGCATTTTAAATCAGAGCTAGAATATAATTTCGAATTTTAACAGTTTTTCTTATATTTAGTAAATTCATCTACATCAAATTTTGTTTTAGTACATATTGATAAAATAGTTACAGAAACCAAAAATATTATAAGACCACCTTTAAAACTTAAATTAAACTTTTGACTTTAAAAAATTTTAAATTTGATTAAAGTTTTAAAAGTGTTTTATAATATTTTATGTATTCTACAATTATTAGCCTTAAAAATTCTTATAGAAAATTCGATTTACATCAACTAAATTACTAGATATAATAAATTATTGAGTTCATTTCATAAAAAGAAGAATTGATATTGTGTAGTAATATAATATGTTTGCGTGTTTATATAATGATAAATATAATTAAATAAGTATTAGTCATCATTTTATAATTAAATTTTTTAATTAATTTTTTGAGTACCTAATAATAAAACATTAAAAATTGATATTTAATGTCAGATTTGAGCATTTTTTTATATATAACAGTTATAAATATATTTTATCAAATATAAAAATTAAATATGTCAAAAATAAATATGAAATGCAACTATAAAATTATTATGCTACGATTTGACAATAAATAAATAAATAAATATGTAATACAAAGTATTAAGAAGTCTTGTCATTTTAGTTATAGTGTTGACTTCATGATACACTATTAATTAAAAATATGAATATAATTATGAAAATTTGAGATGATTGTTGATGAAGTTTATGAATTAGTTAATTTTTACAGAGCTTCATCTCTAGGACCGGTTTCATGATGGACTCCTGTAACAATTGGTGAAGACGCTGAAGGAGTCATTGATGGTGCCCTTATCTGTGCTCGGTAGGCAGCCAATTGTGGGTAAGGCATTTCAGGTTGTGCTATGCTTCGTGCATACGGCGCAGAGTTGTCTGAATAACTACCAAAGGTATCAACAGCTCCGGGAGCACCATATTGGTGGGGGTGAGACAGCACTGGCTGTTTAACAATTTCGTATGTTGTTTTAGAGGAGCCACTGTGACCACCACTGAAAAGTTTTTTGAATGCGACTAGGAGAGCTAACGTGAGTGCAATTTTGCTTACTAAAAGAGCTTTAGCAGCTAGTAGAGCAAGTGCTTTATATGCCATAGCTAACAATCCGCCTTTAAGCATCATCATATACATATGACCTCCTTTATCCTTTTTCTTTTTACGACCTATTAACATAAACAAGAAACTATTAGATCTAACGAAATAACTTTCGTTATATTTAGTTATACTGCTTGTTCTCACAATATTGTAAATTGAGTTTAAAAAGAAATTTTTATAGTATATCACAATTTTTTAAACGGAAAATAGTTAATAGTGGATAAATGTTGTGAATATATAATATTAATTAATGAAATTATTTCTAATGATAAAAGTTATTAATCATATTTTTGATAAATTTATACATTTTAAATTATTATTAAAGTATGCTGTATACACTTTTTTATTAGTTTATTCAAGATGCTATTACAATTACCATCTAGATATACACCATCGTCAAAGTCTCTTCCTTCTGCTGACAATGACTCAGGCATGGTCAACTGAAGAGATCTAGATCTGGCAAACTTTGATATTTTGTCAAACAACATAGAGTCGACCTTTTTGCTGAATTCTTCTGAGTTTTCTGGCACAACGTTTTCGGCAACATTACCATGTTCAACATCCAAAGATCTGCCCTTTACTTCTGTTTTTTTCACTAATGAAATACCTAAAATATAATCATTTTTAAACTCGTATCTAGAAAATTGGAATGAAAATATTCTTCAATAAACCCTAAACAAAATTTTGGTTTAAAGTATAATTTATTTCATTTAGATACTAAAACTAATCGATTACTAATTGTTTTTCACTTTATACAGTAGATAAGTACTGATTCGAAAAAATAATAATTAATAAATATACTAACCTTATGTATTTTACAAATAAAGGGTAAGTTTTTACGTGAATTTTCTTTAAAATTGAGTGTACTAAAAATTATTAAATATATACGGTCTATTTACCATGGTCAATTATTCTTGAAAGATTGTCTATATATTATCTTATGATCTAATATTAGACAACTAAAATTGATTTCATTGATATAAAAACACTGTCTTCTAGGTCAATACTCATTGGTGCATGAAAAAGGAGACCCCATACTAAGTATTAGTAAGATGTGTTCGTAAGTTATGTTTTGAAGCATGAAAACATTAAGGTTTTTTATAATTTGGACAATTTAAAAATAAAATAGATAAACCAATTGAAATCTTGTAGTATGATAAAATAATGTTCAGTCTATCTTTTAACACTTAAGTTGGTTCTTAAATGATAATTAATAAATTATAAGTATTTAAAAATTAAAAATATTTAGTTAAAAAGTATAGACTTAATAAAATCAATTATTCTGCATACAATTTAAAGAAATATAATAAACACATTTAAATATTTTATACTTATAGAACGGATAACAGTAAAATTAAAGATGAGTAGGTTGTTTATCACTGTATTTAATTGTTGTACTTTTTCAACACTCATCCTGTTGATTTTAAGTAGTTATCATCATTAAAAGAATGCCGTTACTTCGGAATTATTTTTAAAAATAAATTGGTAAGAATTTTAGTTATTAATCACCGCATGATATGTTACTGTCTAAAGTAGTATTGTTTAGCATTATGGTGTTAAATTAATGCTTAAATCATTTCTACTAAGTATATAATTGTTACTTACCATCCATTAGCTGAATATTTTCTATTTGTGTGGCTCTATCCAACATCCTTAAAGCCCTTCCCTTTAAGCATACAATTGTATCCTGTTGGTTAGAACACTGTCTGTATGCATTAAAAAGCATACGGAAGCCAGAAACTTCAGAAGGATTTCCCAAAGATTGGGGTGGAGGTGCTTCTGATATGACCATACATATCATTGAACTTAATAGAACAAACCTAGAATCATATTTAAATTGATACAATTACCCAATTTCTTCTCCCCTAAATATTTTTTTAAATTTGTTTTTACGATTCATTGTGGTCTATCCCAAAGAAAAGGTTTTTGACCATGTATATTGTAGGACACGTGTAAAGTCCGTAACCAGAAAGAGGATGATGGCTATAAATACTAAAGTGCTCTATGACTCATCAACAGGGCACCGATTTTCTTAAATAATTATTTTTAGTAATATTTATGAATATAGATATGAATAAAATAAATAGGTTATCTTACACGAAAATTAAAACTTTTTATAAAAAATCATCAAATATTGAGAACATGTTAATCATTTGCGTTTATCAGATAAATTCATTTACAAAACAGACAATAATTGGAATTATTTTTTTTTTCATTATTTAAAATAATAAGGTAAGTTATTCGGTTCCTCAAATACAAAACTATTTGATAGTACTTTCACTGAATAATTACTTTGATGAGAGTTTATTTAAATTTATTTGTAATACACATTGTTCTAGCTAGTATTCTATTATCTTACAAACACGTTATATAATTATTAAATTTATTCATAACTTTAAATAAATTTTTTAGTATTATTTATTCAGTAAATCAGTATTTTTTTTTATATTCATTAAAAACTATTAGTTATTTATTTTGTATATACAGAGTGTTTCAGACTTAACTAACAATGCTTTTAACTCCTGATGTAATTATAATTTTTTTGGTATTTTTTTTTTCAAACAATTATTGCCTTCTTAACTACATCAAAATAGTTTTTTATATTATTTTATCACTTATATAAAAATAAAAATAAAATGTTGAAATTTAGCTTCCGTACAAAAACTTTTTTGTATGGATGATTTGATAACAATTTTAGGACAAGTACTCATTGAGTTACAAATATATTAATATATAGAGTATATATAGAACGTGAATAAACTATACGTTCACCAGTACGACCTGCGCCCACCTGCGCTATATACTCACTCCATGTATTAAAATACTTGTAACTTACTTACTAATTAGTAGATTTTGTATATTCATGAAGTACATTAAATTTTGTTGATGAAATTTATTATTTCAGTAAAAAGTACATTAGAGCAGTATATCATAAAAAGAAAATTGTAATTTATTATTTGAATCCCTGTGGTTTGGGGATAAGAATACTTCCCCTCTGCTAGTCGTAAGAGGCGACTAATGAGGTTGTGTTAGGTCGATAGCCGGTGTAAAACTTTATCAAAAAGTATTTGGTGCCATAAACAGAAATTAGGCGGAATGTTCCATCTCGTATGTACGCGGGGACAATAGACGACCAAATAGTTGTGATAAATGTGAGGAGAAAGAAGTAATTTCTTCTTTAAATACAAATTATTCAAATGTTTTTATGTCTAATCGAAAACCTAATTATTTTGTTATTTGATCTATTTTTATATTTAAATTGTTTATAATTGAAACATAAACCGATTCTAATAATATTTGTTTATTTAAAGAAAATTTCTAAGTATTATTTCGATTTAACTTTGTGAAATTATCCGTTAGTACTGCACTAAACGAATAAAGTAGTATGTTAATCTTGAAATGAGCATAATAAAGCATCGATATATTTTTTTGGATAAACAGTGTATTATGGAAATAGAAAGTTAATGTTTTGATTTCATGCATTTAAAATTTTTTCAAACATTTATTTAAAAATAATACTGAACTTCACGGTAGATGGTTTCAGTGTGTCGAATGTGCTACATGTGTAACTATTGTCACACGAATAACAAAACATAATGATGACCACGTTGATTTGTAAAACGGTTGAAATAAAGTCCCTAAAAATCACGTTTACAATAATTATTTAATGCTGACCTATGTTTAAATACCGAAACATTTAACACAATGATTACATGGTCTGATTTGTGAACAACTGACTCATAGATATTCATAATAAGTTTTAGATTGTATACTTGCAGATAATTTTAAGATATGTGTGGGTATCTATTTATAGTATTAAAATGACTACCAAGTATTATTCAATGTTTTCATTCATACATATAGGTGACAAAGCATTGTTATTGTTTTTTTTTTATAACTACTATTCTTTAACTACAGCATTAATTAATCACAAAAATCTTATTTCAACGTAAATTATCATTATACCTCTCCGCAGGTTAAAATCATTTTCTTGCATGGGTATTATATGCGTACCGAGTTCATTGGGCCAATACCTCAGGTGTGGTAAGACAAATACATTCTGAGCTTTTGTTTTTAAGGAAGTGAATACGAAATGGAGAATGTACCAACATTATTAAGTTTTACTATGAACTCGCTCTTATTATGCATATTATTGATTTTACACTAATTATAAATGTATATATCCGAATTATTTTGTTGTAGGTTATACATAAACTATACTTAAATGAAATTTTCAGTAGTGAAACATAACTATATAATTTAAAAATTATCCTAAGCATTTTTGAATAAGGACGATTGCTTCTTTAAGACCATATGAGTATTCACCAGCTTCTTCGAAAACATTTACTTCACATGTGAATTAGCAAAGAAGTATTTATGTCTCATTGTCCCATTTTTTTTATTCAGAGGCATTGTTAGCTAGTTTGATGTAAAAAATGTTGAGACATGACTTCAAAACAATATGGAGGTATAATTTTTTCTTCTTTGTTACCATAATTGACAAATAGTCATTACGAATGAAATGGAATTAAACCAGTACGAATTGTGAGAATTTAAGAAATTAAAAATACATTTTAGTGGTAACATTCACACAAAAATTAAATTCGAATAGGACACGTCAGTTATAGTTATAATTAACTTTATCGGACGTTACTAGAAATTTACAAATTTTTGAACCTAAAACGTTAAGCAGATTTGACTTAATTATTTTGATTTTTTATTTTTACTAAAAGTGTTATTTTTTCAGAAAATTTGAATATTTAAAATGTATGCATAATTTTAACATTAAAATTTTTAGTACAAATAAATACTTGAATATCTTTATACATATAGTTTAAGTATTTTTAACATCCTAAAATTGTGATCAAGTAATTTTTGATAATTTATGATTGATTGCTAAATATCCGATTATATAATTTAATAATTATCTTATTTTAGTATATTTTCAAAATAAATACGACAGGAAATAAAACTTTACTAACTAACGATAAAAGTAATAAGTAAATCATAATTTTTATTTTATACACAAAATCGTAGTAAATGATTTATAGAACACATTGCATTTATTTAATATTACCAGTAGGTATTTAAATTTTTTTTTTTGAAAGTTGGTATTTAACATAAAATGCCAGATTTTGAATTATTATATAATTTATAAATAAATACTAAAATTCTTAATTTATTAAATTACCACGTTAATTAAATAATAATATATCTATTGAATTTTAAAAAGTGTATATTTCATATTATTTTTATTTTGTTAATAAATTTTGAACAATGAATTATTATTAATTAAATGTTGTTTTAAAGAGAAAAGTTTTTCAAATATTTAATTTGATAGCTTAAAAGATTAATAGTGTTATTTGCACTTTACAAACAAAACAAAATAGTATTTATTTATCGATTCAAATAGGTTTTGCAGTTTTTTTGTAATTTTATTAAAATTATCTAAAATTTATAAACTATTTTTTGAAACTATAAATACTATAATAAGTGTAATTATAAATCATGTAGAAATCACATGGATTAAATTTTTAAAATACTATAATGAATTACCCATTAACTTCTATTAAAAACAACTTATAATTCATAAATTTAAGAATTATCTGCTATTGAATAAGAGTGGTAATATTTAATCTGTAAAAATATTTGCTATATTAAAAACTATAACAATGAATTATTTTTAAAAATTTTGGACGTTTAGTTTTTTCTTACAATTCGTTTTTTGGATTAAAATGAATGTTAGATGGAAATTTCAAATTAATACATAGAAAATTTTAGTATTGCCTGGTTTGTATTTGATCATTAAATGACTACAGGTAATGATTTTTTTTTTTAATAAATTATATGATTTAAAAAAAATTAAACAAAAATTGTTTATCAGCTATTATAATTTCATTTAAATCAGCTGTTTATGAAAGAATTTAGTTGATAAGTAATAAGTCTTCGTGTGATTGACTTTCAATTGATGTAACTACTGTTCACAAATGCTAATTTAAAATTATTAAGTTCTCAACACTCTTTAAACCATTTTTTGTTTTTAACTTTGAAGAGAAGAATCCATGTAGTTTTAATTTAAAATGTAATGCGTCCTGGTCAAATTTAAATGACAATATTAGAAATAAAATACGTAATATGAACACTTCCAAGTTTGCACAGCAATAATAATGTACGACCATAACCGTAATTAGTAAGGTATTATATTAGTAACTATTTAACATATTAAATTTACCATAATACTGAGGTATCCATGTTAGCTGTTCAGTTGCGATGGAAAATTGCGAGGAACTACGGACGGTTGGTCACTGATGACTGAACGATGATTTCACGTTGGTCTCTCGTTTTATTTGGCTGTTCTTCAGTCGGGGGACGCTGTCATTTTCCTCACGGGTCCATGCGAGGGGCACACGCTAAAATTTAACAATATGTTAGGTGCCAAAGAAGATGGTGATCCCAAATGTGGTGGTGGTATGCAGGTGACGAAGAAGGTAATAGGTAGTAACAGAGCGTAAATAAAGAAAAGTGCTCTACTTGGCTGTTTGATAAAATTATATGCCATCCATTGAATTATCTCAACGGCCTTGTGTAAATAATATTAGGTGAAAATCGTTTACATGTTATTATCAATATTATAATTTTTTTTTTAACTTATTATTATTATTTTTTTTTAAGTGCTAAAGTGTTGTATAATAATTGTTGTGCACAATCAGAAACACGTGCGTATTTTAATGGCCTATTCCAATGAAAGTTTACTGAAGTTAAAGAAATGGAAACTGTAACTCTTATCATAAGTATATTATTGATATAAAAAATTATTAATTAACATATAGATCGTCTTCGAAAACATTTTGCTGGCGAAAAAGAATGTTACATTTTGGCGATAAATTAATTAGTTATGGAGTATTCAATTAACAAAATATAACTGAATTTTTTTAATTCTGAGCTAATTATATAAATCAACGTTACGAGTTTAGTTTTCTATACTGCTGCTAAAACCTTAAAATTTTTAATTAAATAGTTTTGTTTCAAAAGCTACAAAATTACCAACTAAACTTAGCGGATTTTAGTGTTAGGTATTTGGAATTATTATTTTTAGATAAATCTTAAATAATTTAAATTATAATAATATCTATCTATAATTACTTAAATTATATCACTCTCAAGAAATCAATTTTTATTTTAATCAACTAAATGTTCAAATACAACAAAAAAGTACTTATCCAAATTTGCAAAATTGAATTAGAAATTGTATATCACTTGTTTGCGATAAATGATACAAAAAAGAAAATGTTAATAGTATTAACATTTAAGTATTAACTTAATATGCTTGATTGTCATATTCAAAATACAAAATTGTAAACAATTTTTTTCTGAAAACTTTTTTTTTTTTTTTTTAATTGTGTTGTTACTATTGCAAAAGTCATATTGTGCGTATTGTTTTCTTATAGTATAAGATATCCTGAGTTAAATTCTTTCAAAAAATATATTTTAAATTTTTATAATTTAATCAGGATTTATATATATATATATCCAAGAACTTTGGAACTACAACAAGGACAAATAAAAATTAAAAAGCCTTTTTATTTAGTATCTTGATTAGTACTAATTTTTTTTTTATTGGCCACTTATGGTTTATTCTATTATAAGAAAATTAGTTAAAAAACAATCTAATCACTAAATTTAACGATAAACATGAAGAAATTATTACAAAAAAATGTTTCCTCTTAAAAAATACTTTGATGATTTGTTAATTCATTACGAGATTTATTGCATTCAGTTGATTTATGCTATTTCCATTTTTATGTCTAAATTCTAAAAAATGTATACATATTGATTTTTATAATGAGCTGGTAGATGATATAAATTTTTACGAATAGTTGTCTCATTGATGTTTATTTTCATAGGTACTATTATTTAGAAAGAGTAGCTTTAGTTTCATAAACAGTCAAAAATAAAATACTTATTCCTTTTAATAAAATAAGATAGGATTTGTTTTAATTTAAAATTCTAAAACTAATATTTGAATTTTTTGTTTGTTGTTTACAGACTTCTTCAATAGCTGGACATTAAAGTTTTCTTATTTTCTTTTTTTATAAAACTGAAAGCGATTTTTCTTTTTAGAATCTTAAATATATGATACATCCTAGAAACAGCTACGCACGTACGCATTGTCTAAGATGTCCGGAATTTGCTTAATGGCCCAGGTTTTTTGGCATGAGGCTAGGTAACAATAGTCAGCTAAGTCAATAAACGGGCCGTTATTATTGTTATTATGAAAAGTGCCTTCGCTTTGTTACTAAAGTGTGTCGAGATCATCCTGATTGTCGTTGATTAAATATCTCGTGGTCTGATATATTCTCAATAGTATCATGCAAATTTGTAAAAAAAAAACTGTCACTAAAATAATGTACTTACCTAGAAAAATACTGTAAGTTAATCATTAAATTAACTATTGACTATGAATTTAATAACATGTCAAGCACAACAAGTTATTTAAACCAAAAAATGCGATCATGTCAGATAACTATTATATATTTAGCTCGTATTACTTATAAATATTAATAATTAAGTATAAACAATGTATATAAAATAGTAATTCCGATTATATTTAATTATGAGCACTTCCTTAAAATGGTAAATTAAATGAACGTTTAATACGTCTACTAAAATACCATTGACCAAGGACATTAGCAGAAAAATTTCTCAGTGATGCCAAAATTATTGATAACATTTTAAGCTATAGAGGCAATTCCCCTCTTCCCAAGGGCTAGATAGTCGTAGACCCCCTTTTCCACACCACGGAATTTATACGGCAACCTAATTTTTTTTAAAAATGGTATTTTTACAAAATTATGAGAAAGAAAAATAAGGTCATAAAAATACATACTATAAAATTTTATTTAACCTTAAATGTTTAAATTTTCCCTTAAATTATTTTTATAAATGCGTCTGCTATACACCTGATTAATATCAATCAATATACCTAACTTACAACACCTTCTATCAACCAAAGTCTTCTCCTTAGACAACGTTCATTAACCACTCTATACGTAAAATAAAATCGGTACTCAAACGAAGTATGTTTTACCTGTTCACTAGTGCAAATAATAGTGTACTATATTATAATATATTATATAAATATTCCGTATCTCGACGTTTGTACTTTTTAAATAATTTTATATTTATAATAACGTGACTGCTTAATTTGATAAACATTGTCATCATTAAAAAACGATTTTCGGCTAGTTATAGTATATTTATGGTCAATACTTGATTTAACAACTTCGGAACATTAAAAACGTATATAAAATCAACTACGTGAAAACAAAACATCAATAGTAGTACTTTTTTTTATTCTTAAACATGTATTTTGTCGTGAAGTTGATAATAAAAGTAATATTAATCTTGAAAATGAACATGTATCAAACGAATTCGGCAAAATTATTTCCATTATGTTGTTCAGAAAAAATATCTAATTACACAAATTCAAATTTTATAATTTCTAAAAAATTGACTAATATAGAATCATTAATAACGAACACTGATGTGATTAATGTAGCAGAAAAGTATTATACAACGGATGATAAAAATATAAAAAAAATATTCCCTAGAGAATTCACGGAGAGTTTTAATTGCTTATTAAAACAATGGAACGATAATATTATGAATTTATCATCAACTATTGAAAATCAGTTTCACCATTTATTATCATTTTGGTTGTACAATGGAAATGCAAAACAAAATCAAGTAACAGGTTAATATTTTAGCTACCTATTTTATTGTGTGTTGTAAAGTTATATATTTTAAATATTGAAAATAATATCTACGTTATATGCAAAAATTATTTTTAAAGTATACTAAATTATAATACGCTTTTTTTTAATTTCCTTTTTTAGGAAGAAAAAAATCGAAGTTAAAATATTGGGATAAGGAATTATTGTTTCTCGGCTTAGGAATAAAACTTTTCATTTTTCTACCAATTTTAGCTATGTTAACGGGAAAAGCTATTACAATAAGCTTTGTGTCATTATTAACTATGTTAGGAACAATACTATTTCAAACTCAACCAGAATTTTCTTTTAAGCGAAATGATTATCTGATCAATGACAATTCTCCAACAACTGGTTATTTCATGTAAGATTTAATTGTGAGTAATTTATGGTGATCATTATTTCAATTGGAGTATGCATATTTTTTTTCAAATAAATTATAATTTTAATCATTTAATTTTTGTATCGTTATTATGCCAGAGTACAAAACTTCTTTTATAAATTTCTTAGCCATTGATTATTATTATTATTTTGCTTTAAATATAAATTTTATGTTATATAAAAATTTTTTTAATAAAAATATTAATTAAAAACTTGAAATTTACAATATTTATTTATAAAACAAATATCTTATTATTTAGTAAATGAGTCATGGAAATTAGACATTTTTTATTGAGTAAATAATTTTTATTAGATAATTTTTTTTTAATTTAAACTAAAACTAATAAACCAACAATAATATTTTTAATTAATTTAATAAATTTTGATAACTGATTCCTATCCATTAAACCGTGAAAAAAGAGGATAATGATGTTTGTTGCTGTAAAAGATTTTGTGTGATAGCATTTATTAAAGAAAAACAATAATATCACAGCATAATATTAATTCTAAGTCAAAAAAATATCTAATTATTATTAAACTTTACCAAGTTACAATCATTTTATTTCATAGAATGGGTATGGAACGCAGGCAGAGTATGTATACACCAGTATGTGCTGCACCCAGTTGCGCTACATACTCAATCTATTTAATTACATACTTGTAACTCAATAAATAGTTATCTTAAAATTATTATTGACTCATCAAAAGTTTTTGTAAGAACAATGCTAAAAAATAGCATATTCGAAAAACCAAAAAAAAATTTGAAATAAATTATTTTAATTAAATTTTTTTTTTAATAAGTGATAAATAATAAAAATATGCAACAACTCAGTTTAAGAAGGAAATAGTTATTTAAAAATGTTTCAACGATATTATCATTAGATCATAAGTTGTTACTCTATATAATTTAACCTGTATATTCAATGAAGTTTATACAATATTTATTAAACTGATACTATTTTATAATTTTAATTTTTAATTTATAGTAAAAACAAAAAAGTCATATAACTATTATATTAAAAATTTAACAATGGTACTATAAAAAACTTTTCGATTGGAACACAACATATATAAGATAATCAACCATATAAATAAGACTCTTTTTTTTTTTTTTGAGATATATTAGATAAAATTATTTTAGTTGAAAATACTCTGCAAGCAAATTACCTATATCCTTATCATAAATATTGTACAATTTTTTAAATTACGAATAATGTTTCATCGATTATTCTTTATATAAATCTTCGTATTAGCTATATAGAGTTTCACAAATCTGAGCAACGTGGTAATAGCTGTAATTTTGAATCACAATGAAAAATAGATATCTAATTTTCTTCTTTTCTTCTGTTATATTCTTGATAATCACAATTTTACTTTACCCCGTAAAACTTAAGCAGAGGTGGACACAAATAGTTTATTTTTTTCGCACATTTCTTAAATGTCCAAAATGATTACACTACTTTTTCCTGACACTACCACATATTTCGGTCTTTTTTGGTGTTTTTTTATTTATCATAATATATATTATTTTATTTACTTTTTATACTGTTATTATTTTACATAGAAAAGTACTTAGTACGTTAATTTTTTATATTATTATATATTATCTCGTGAAATATAATTATTTAAGTCAAAAAGTAGTTTAATATATCTATAATTTATAAGTTGATTAAATATGATATAATAACTTGATTAAATATAATTTAAATATATTGTATAATACCTTACAAATATTCTATGTTTCATTCCAAATCAAATAAATAAATATAATATGGTCAAATTTTTAGGAGAACTATTCAAAATTATGAAATTTCATATATTGTACCCCTAGATCAAAACTTTTGTTCTAGAAATGTCAATAAATAGTCACGATATATCATAATAAAATGTTTTTTAGTTTTTTTTTTTTAAATTTTTATTCTTTTTTGCTTAAGTAAAATAATTAATTAATTTAAAGCAAATATGTTTGATAACGTACCTTTTATTTACATCAGATTAAAAGTTGTGGTGCCGTATCAAGGAAGTTTCATGAAATAACTGAATTAGAAATTGAATAGTAACGAAAAATTCTAAATTAGTATCTGAGAATTTTACAGGATTTAACGAATAGAAAATTTTTTTGAAATGTCTATACTGGTGTAATTTTTGAAATGATTTGACCTCCTTTATTTTTAAATACAGTTTTTTCATCATATCATTTTTAGTCGCTAATTTTATAATTGTATGTAACAACAAATTACAAAAGCAAAGAATTTTTATTGTTCTAATATAACTTATTGTTATTATTATATATTTATTTATGTTTAACGTCATCTCTAAAAGCTATTGCTTGTTCTAGAAAAGACAGTACTAAGCCCAAATACTTAAACCCAACCCAACCAATCGACTAAGCTAATTAAATTATTTTGTGGTAAATTAAGCCATGTCCTTTTCGTAATACAACCCCATATAAGCAAGGTTAACATTATTTTATAACTTAAAAACCGTCAAATGGACCAACTAGGGGCACTGGTTAAACTTAGGACAGTTAAATATTTATTATCATTTCAGTTGTACCAATCTAAAGCAATAGTAAAATGTTTACAAGTATTGTTAGGAAACACAAAATATTTTTTACAAAAATGAAGTAATGGAATCTGTAAAATATTTAAACTTCTTCAAGTTTAATCACCGCCCAAAGTTGACATATTGGATGGTAATCATAAATATATAGAGTATTCAAAATTATTTGAGATGAACAAAAAGTAAATTAAAAGAAGGTTATACACACTAATTACTACTAAAATTTTTTAAATATTATAATAAAAGTAAGTCAATAATAGTTACTGTTATATTATGATATTATGTTGTAAGTTTAGTACAATAAATAAATAATTAATTGAACATTCTAGTGTACTTGTTACAAGAAATATAACTAATTTGATTCAAATCAATTGAATATTCATTGACTTCCTGTGATGATCGTAGCTATTCATATACTATTATTATCATGATACATTCAACGGTTTATACATTATCTATTATATACTAATTATTATTACCTTACATTTCAATTACATCAGTAATGATACTGGTAAGCGAAAATATACACAGTTATGACAAAACATATCTAAATAGTTTTACAATCAATGAACATTCAATTTGTTTTAATTTTTTTTCTGAGTGTGTCGTTAAGTTTATCAACTAAGAGTACAAATACTCAATAGTACATGTAATAAAGGAGTAAAGCATAGGCCACAATTTTATTTATAAGTAATTATTTACACTATTCAGTGCCTTTTTTAAATTTCAACGCGAAGCTGAGAAAGTATTGGTTTTGTAATGAACGTGTTTTTTTTATGTCTACCTATGAAAATTCTCAGCTCTCACTGTTCAAATTTTAATCAACAAGACGCCGTAAGAACCCAATATTAATCTTGTTGAACAACCAGTACCTAAAAATTAAAATAATATCAAAAATAACATTTTCAACATTTTTTTTTTTGTATTTTAAAATTTATATATCTTTTTTTAAACACTAATTCTAATAAATTATACTTTAATAGAGTATACTTGAGACAATTAACATTATTTTGGTATACCTTTTTATAAAAATGTATAAATTGAAAAATTTAATAGATTGTCTTCAAAGAATTTTTTATGACAGTGATAGTGATATAAATAACTTTCAGATATCATTTATACTTGTCCTAACTCTGCCGCGACCTCACTGTGCTGGATTTTTTTGAACACGTTTATTTAAAAATTTCTTATATTATCTATGATGTAAAACGTTAGTCCACATATGTAAAGGACGGAGGTAGATTATATCCTTTTACGTTATTTACTGACAATATTAAGTGATATCTTTTCCATGAAAAATATTAACGTTTGAACGATCTTTTTATAGAAATGATTATCTCAAATCATTAATACAAAATGTTATTAACATTTTTGTGTCTTAATGCAAGTGTTCGGTGTTTGACCAAATTAAAAATGATAACAATTATTAATTTGCGTGCAGCATCTGATTTAAAATAAAAGATTTGGTATCAAATTTTTTTTTAACTTATCTATGAAATGGCTATCTTCAAATCTTGAAAAAAAAATTCATTTTTAAAATATTTTTTCTAATTGCGAAAAATAACATATTTTGAAAATAGTCATATATTCTCTGAAGAATTTTGCGTCAAACGGAGAGGAGTGGTTTCACCGACAAGGCAATACCTTTAATAGATGATGATGCTTGTAAAAATTGGTTAAACAAAAAAAAATATAAAATTGTATTAAGATCATAAATTATATGAATTGTCAGTTATATTTGTTGCACTCTATATATCGTATTTACATATTAACATATTAACATATGCATAAAAATTTAACTTAAAAAAGTTTGATCCTGTTATTATAATGATACAATTACGAGTTACTCCCGAATTGTTTAAGAAATAATTTTTTTAATTTAATTTTTTCATAGAATATAAAAAAAAATTTAAACAAAATTATACTTTAATGTATAATTAAATAAACTCAATGAATATTGATATAAAATTTTAAACGGATTTATTCCGTAAAAATGTGAAAATAAAAATTATTATTGATTAATTTTCTGTGTTTTTTGTATTTACAATGACAGCAAATTTAAAGTATTAGTCTCTAATACATCAATTATCACATTTATTTCATTATGATAACAAATTTAAAAGTTCATTACATTTTGACAAACTATTTAACTATATAACTACGTGAGCTACATGAAAAAACTTCAGAAAGAATTGCTTACCAATTTTTTAATAAAGAAATTGAATATTTTAATCAAAATGATAAAATGAGCTACTTAAATGGATTTAAAAAAAAAATATATTACGCTCATATAATCGTTAAGTCGGAGGATTTGAAGATTTTGGTATTTACGTACTGACACGGCCCGCGTCGCTTCGTTATACACGATGCCCCGCGACTCGTGCCACCTTTATCAGCCGTCGCCCTACTATGAGTATTTGACTGACCAACACCGTGTGTTATACGCTATGGTGCAAAGTCCGGCAAATGCCGTACATAGGACGACGACCCGCCGCAAATGGTGTGAGAGTCTTCCTCCCGTTGTGAAGCGATAACGTCGACCAACCGATCCGCACCCGCGCACCGTCGCCTACAACGCTGCTAACCATTTTGCCGTCCAAGGATTACGCCGGACATCGCGTCGTCGACGCCAGCGAAAGTGCCGCGATATTATGCGAAGATTATTATTACTGTGTTTATCTTTTCGGTTTGTTTTATTTTTGTTAACATAATCTGTTGTCGCTCATTTAATAAACGGCTCACGGGTCTCTACCCTCAAAACCAGTGTCGGCCACATTTTTGCGACGTAAGTCGTGTCAATACAAACCAGAGTTTTTTGGAATAATATTGTCAAAATACATAACATTTTGTAAAATTGCCGAAACTGATATATTTACGAATATTTCATCGCATTTGACGAACCATATATGATACGACCTAACGTTTTATACAAAAATTGTTTAAAATTAAATTTTACGAAATAAAAGTACCAAGTACAAATTTCATTGAACCGATCGTTTTATTGCTATAACTGAAATAGATCGATCATATTACGATTTTTACTAATTTAAATTGGCCGACCCCAAGTAGTTTGGATAAGGCGAGGAAGAAGAAGAAGATTGCTTAATTTAAATGTATTTCGTTTATATCGTATATTCAAATGTGAATTGATGTACTTGTTTGACTAAAACGCGTAATTATAATTATTTCTCAATATTATTGTATAAATAAAAAAAAAATTACTATATACAATACAAAATGTTAATTTCAAAATGATTCACAAATTATAACAAAAATATACATAAAAAACTATGTTTTAATATTTCTTTGTTGAAATTAGGATATAATTTTCTATGCTCTTGGACACAGCGTAAAAGTAACTCAGCTTTTTCATCGTTTACAGTTAAACTTCCATGAAAATCTTCCATTAGCTTAACTGCTCTTTCTGCAGAGACATTTACTACTTTAAGTGAACAAATTCTTTTCCGTGTAAATAAAAATCATAAGTATTCCAATTACTTGGATCCAAATTTATAAAATTAGTATTGATATCGAATAGTGTAAAAAATTGCATACTGCTCTTTGAATAAAAAGAAGCTACAGTTTTTTTACTAAAAAAAAAAATCAATCACTCAATAGTCATAAAAAAACTAAAATATCAAAAATTATTTTTGAAAAATATATGGATCAATAAAATTTTTCTATGATAAATTCTATTTATATAAATATTTCATTCGACATACTTTTTTTTTAAATAAAACCATTTTCCTTTATATGTTTATAATATATAAATATATAATTTAACCAATTTTTTTAAAATTAAACACTATCTATAGATTTTCATCGAAGCGTTTTTAATGATAGTGATTTTAATCACTGTCAGATATCATTATACTTGACCCAACTATGCCACGTCCCCAATGTGCCGCGACCACACTGTGCTGGGTTATTTTTATTAATATATAACTTGCCCACATAACTAACTGCTTATAGTAAATAATTATTATTCTTGATATGGTTAACTGATTTGGTACATTCGACACATTTGACATATTATGTGTAAGTGTTTCTGATGGAAAATGTATACAAGTCTCTTATAATGTAGTTTATCTAAATGTTATGTCATTACAGTGTTCATCCATTACGTTTAACGTACAGTTATTCAAATTAAAAATGAGTAAAACAGGCCAGTATAAAACATAAAAACATGATACATCGAGCTTAATCCTAATGCATGATGCGAGTGTTGTGTGTGATTATCATATTAGCCATGAGGGCAATACATCAGGCTGAAAGTTTTAGTGATTTGCTATCACATTTAAACCGTTGTAAATGGAGACAGCTGGACGAATGTCTAACAGACGATCTAAAAAATTCTATAGATATGGCGTTATCTACGAACGATACTTATCGACTAAATCAATATTTAACAGTTACAATCAATGGCCACCCAGAAAAAAATAGATTCACCGAAACGGATTCCTTATTCACGCGGATTTTAACATTTATTGGAACGCTTAACTTCAACTATGCACCAAAAGAATCAATGAATGATTCTTCCGATGAATCACCTGATGGTATCAATGAAAGTAAGATCAAAATATTACAACTATACTATTCTTTTAATCTTCCTTAAAGTAAAATAACTTTTTAATTAATACAATAGTACAATCAATATCATTTAAATAAAAATTATAAATTCCAGTTGAGGGTAAATAATTAAAATATATGCACCATTAATTGCAGTTTAGTCAGTTATTATTAATGTATACACTTACAAAAAATTGGAAAATAAGATAAAAATAACAAATTTTATTAAATTTGTGTGATAATAATTTAAAATAATTAGGACGTAATTTTATTGATTTGATGGGCTCAATTTTGACCAACATATAAGTTTAATGGTTGAAATTATGTGACTCAACCCTATAAATTTAAAGATAACCAGAAATTTTTTTTATTATACTCCTCTAATTGTCTCCTCGAAAATAATCCTAAATCTTGTAACTTCTTAACACTTAAATAAAAATACTAAATAACTTTTTTTGAGGAATTATTTGATTTTTGAAATTATATAAAACTATCTAATAGTTAAATTTATTCTTTTAAATTACACTGTTTGAAATAAAATTAATAAAACAGTTTTATCTCATGTTTAAATAATATACTCATTATTATTTTTCAGGTCGTAAGAAAAAAAGTAAAGGCGGTAAAAAAGACAAAATGAGTATGATGGTGGCCATGGGAGCAATGGGAATGTCTGCTATAGGTGGAATGTTTAATACAGCAATGACTGGTGGTGTTTCAATGATAGCTATGAAAGCTCTAATTATAGCTAAAACGGCTCTTATATTAGCTATTATCATAGCAATAAAGAAACTTCTAGGTGGAGGCGGCGGTACCATTGGAATACCTCAACAGCCAGTTATGTGGAATAATGGAGGTGGTGGGTCAGATGGAGGTTATCGTAGAAGTTTCAACCCGACAAATAATCAAAACCTAATTGCTTCATCGTTAGCTTATAATGATCAAATTAAAAATATTTCTAGTATATTATAAATTCTTATTTACTAAAAGCAAAAACTAAAAATTAGGGAAGACGGCGATTTGATAAACATTTAAATGTTTATACTAGTCTCATCTACTTTTTCTTAATTTTTATTGTTTGCAAATTATTTACATTAAGTTAAAAATTTGATATAACTACCAAAATTTAATTTCTATAACATTGCTACTGTTATGATAATGTTGTTAACATAATTATGATTTATTCTAAAACTATACATTAGTAGCTAATGTTGTGAATGTTTAATTTTTTGCAAATAAGATTTTTATAATTTTATAACTTAATTACTAAAATATTTATGAATGAATACCTAGTAAAAATAATAAGTTCTTTATGTAGTAATAAAACTAGTAACACTGTATTCATATTTAGCTGAACATTATTATAACATTCAACTTACTTAATGTAAAATAGCTAATTATTTTTTAACGAAAAATTGTCTGCTTCTAATAAAAATGATACATAACAAGAAAATTATAGTTTAGTCAACAACCGGAACTATTTTATAAAATAATTATGAGTATTACTGTGACTCTTTAAACGGTTCAATGATAACTCACTTATTTCACGATTTGTATCATTATAATTATATTTTTATCACATAATAATGGATTGTAGAATAGTAGAATTATTTCAGTAATCAATAGTTATAGCTTTTTTATTAGTGTATCTAATTCAACTATTATATGGAGTAAAGAAGAAAAAGAAAACAGATAAGTGTGTGAAAAATATATCTTATTGGTATTTTTAATAAAACCATGCTACCTTATAAGAGTATAATGATATAAAAATAAAAATACTAGGTTAATTAAAATTATTACATTGAATATATTTCACAATTCATAGTTCGCAATACCACGATACAAGTTTAATAATCTTTGGGGAAATAATTTATGGGGCCTTTTATTAAAGGCACAGTATTAGAAGAAGATATCTGTTCGAAGTTGTTTAAGTTGTCATAATATTTTTCATCTCTATGTGGTGATAGAAAAGAAGGAACAAATATTGGACCACTTTTCTGGTTTTGATAATTGTAGTAAGTAGATCCATAACTGACCTATAAAAAATTATTTATTAATTAAAATATGTTTTAAAATATTATAGTATTATTTTCTATATAAACATACAAAACTAGAAATCACAATTGCAAACTTTGACATCATTAATGCGTTTTTTATTAGAAAATATAATGTTGCAAATATCATCGGTACTAAAGATACAATACTTATTTGAGTAGCAAGTACAGATTGTAACAATGATCTTTTAAAAATAATATTTCCTAAAAAAAAATATTTTTTACTTAAAATAGATAATGAAATCTTCATTTATTTAATAGACCAAAAAAATAAGTCCATTAGAAAAATGTATAAATCACATAAGGTTCTAATTATATAGAATATATTGACATAATTACTTCAGAATACTATTTAGGTTAGAAAAACTATATCATTTTGTTTGTTAATTTATTATCAATAATATTTTTAATGTAATGCTGAAGTTTAAATTTAAATTTAAATTTAGTTACCAAAAGTTAAGCTTTTTTTATCATATTTATGACGTGGATCTAATAAAAAATTAACAGTTCCTTTATTATTACATGATGGATCAACTTGCATTAATAAACCAGGGAATATTATGCTGAAGTCCCAGCTTAGCGTTCGCCTTGATAACAATGATGTAGCTGCTTCAAAAACTGCACCAATGTTGTATGGATCATCATCTATAAAAAAATTAGGCGTACATATAAAAATTCAACATAAACTTTTTTTAAATATTAACAACGCTTTTTTTTTATATTAAAACTCATAAAAATAAGATTCTGTTGTTATTTTTGTTAGTAATATACAGAGGATATTTTCACATATTTAACTCTACAAAATTAAAATATATCAAAATTATTTTTAATGTTTATACTAAATCTATGTAAAAAATATAATTAGTGGCCTAACTATATTTTAAAAGGGAAACTGTACAATTTATTTATTTAAAAAATACTGTAAGCAATTATAAAAGGCAACCAAATAAAAAAATGATGAATAATGAATATTTATAGATTATGATATACTATATAAATTATATTTTTGAGAAATAAATGAACCAATAGGGGTTCGCTTGTGTATACTTAACCGTGTACTAGAAGCCTGTTATTTTAATAATACATTAGATAATACAAGTACTCATTATATGTTCAATGTGAGAAGCAGCCTTATGTTTTATAATAATTTTATTCTTCGTGATGACGTTTTAATTAACTATCACAATAGAAAATAATAGAAATTACACTTCACTGATTTAACATTTTTGTTAAACAATACACCGGTAGGTCTTGTAACGGTATAAATAAACGACAAAATTAAAATAAAAAATTGTATTAGAATATTTACTTGAGTAGGGTTTAGAACTTTTTACATTTATAAAGATTATTTTAATCTTTTGAATACATTAATCATAAATAGATATTGGTGTTTGTTTTTCTTATTACTAAATAATGTAAATTAATTATGAATTAAGTTATGGATAGTATAGGAAATCACGTCCCTTAGAATGTTCCTATGCTACTATATATACCTAAAATAATTTTTAATGGAATTGGGTGTCTTGGAAGGGGTTTTAAAAGATTTTATGAATGCATTAAATCTTGAACCTTGATCATGAGTTTATGTGAAGGAGATTCATGAATACATTTGTTTTTAATTAGCAAGTTGTCTAAACACAAAAACTAATACTTAAAGTCTAATGTACATTTTTTTATATGAGAATTAAAATTGCTTAAATGTTAATTGTTGACTTTTTAATCTACAAAAACCTATATTATAAAAAGCTTTAAAATCGGAAATGAATTACTTCTACATTGACTATTATATTTTTTCAGGTTATTTTAATGAACTATAAAGTACTAATTTTATATTTTAATGTTATGATTTTGCAATATAAAATTCTAAATTGTAAATAATTTAATACTTTCTATTTGTATTTGTATTCTCTTTTTAAGATCAAGTAGTTGTCAATTACAAAATTATTGGTTTTTTATTTTAAATCTACTTAAGTATTTTGAAGTAATTGCATAAAAATGCATACGTTATTTTTTAATTTTAGTTATAATTTTTTCAATAGAAAATAAAATGATTTGCATAGAACTTTTACCAAATATATTGAATAAACGTTATGCTTCTTAATTGAAGGTTATAATCACTAAAACAATTTGCTTAACATTACTAATAACATATTACATATGAATAATTATTATTGTAGTTCTCATTAAACAATATACTTGCAACATTATGGAATTGAGTAAGATAAAGGGAGATAAGATGTCACATTATTGACAGCATAATCGTCACCATACGGACTTAATAACTACAACGATTGTCGATTATTATTCCATCAAATTTCAATACGAACGTACAAATATAGATACTTTATGATCACTATAACAAATGACGTAACTACAATAGCCAAAGAAACTTTATCTAATAATATCAAATGTAAATATTGAATAATAATTCAAGTATTTATGTTTGTACTGCTATCTCTTGGATTACAACTGACCAACCCCACGTTTGTTAATTTAAAATACGCAGATAGCGTATAATAGCACAAACCACTCTCACGTGTGATCATTTCTTACTATTATCAAGTATATCTATTGATTTTTTTTACAAGTGCATTGTACTTGCTTCGGCAGTACATATACTAAAATTGGAACGATACAGAGAAGATTAGCATGGCCCCTGCGCAAGGATGACACGCAAAATCGTGAAGCGTTCCACATTTTTTTGTTAATTTTAAGTACTTCTTTTATACTTTATCTTAGAAGTTTGACCAAATCAAATTTTCTTAAAATTTAATTAAAGATTTTTTTACTACGAATTCTTACTTAAAAAATATAACAAGAATTTCACTTGTTTAACAATTTTTATCGTATTATTTGTTGTCATAAAAACTATATTAACAATAAACTAATTGATAGTAACATTGGTGTAATAATTATTACAGCAAGAATTACAATAAAAATACAAGAATAATTAGTTGTTCACGTTTACATCAACTGTAGGCTATATCAAACTTAATTTATTAGTATTTATTACTATGTAAGTAATGAATATAGAGTTTTGTATTTAATAAAATACCATGTCACCTTTCAGATCATTTTATACAAAAATAATATACAGCGAATATTACTTCTAATTAGGAGTCTCGTTGTTCAAAATGAAAAAATTAAACCTAAGTCAGTTAGGTCCCCTAACTAGTTGGAGCGATAAGTACGGTCGGTAAATGATTATTGATAAAAATAACAACATACGCGATTCACCTCCAGTCTATATTTTAATATGCTTATAACTCTCGAGGTATTGGTCTAAAAGTTGTTATCGACCAATAATTTTCTTAATTAGATTATTTTCTATTTTATAACCTATTTAAATATGTATGTTGTCATTTAAAATAATAAAGTTGACACCCCTGTAAGTTATGAGGGATGATTCTAAAAAGTCATTATTAGCTGATAAATCAAGAAAAATTGTTAATATAGTTTTAATTTTAAGTAATATTAATCAGAGAACAATTAAATCAAATAATACATAATTTTTAGACATTTTTTGGAGACCTTTTAATTTTTAAGGGAATTATTTAAAATGTAGTACAGCTAATCATTTTATAAAATATGAAATTACTATTGATAAGAGAAAAAAATTAAGATAACTTTATTTTAAATAAATGTGTTATTTGCACGTGCTCTTAGTGCAATTCAACTAAAATGCAGATTACTGAATTAGTTAAAACCGCCTGACTTATAATGTCATGTATCATTTTTATAAATCATACTTTAGCAGATTATTTAACATAATATAATAAATAAAAATGTAGTCTACATTTAGTTGAAAATCCGTTGAAAATTTCAAAATTATTTCTTTAAAAAGTAAAAATTGTAAGTGAAATGTAGGCACATATAGGTTAGTATGTGGTTAAAAAATTTCATTTAATGTATGTTGTTCATCGTGTACATATTTGGCGATGTGTATTTGAGAACACATTTGAAACTTGTAATTAAACCGGACACTTTTTCAATAAAAAGAACGCTTTCTTTTCTAGCCTTATTAATACCTGTTTGATGTTTTTATCAATTATTTATTAAAACGATTGATTTTTAAACTGTAAAGCACACAATATATTTATGATCAATATAAAAAATAAAATAGTATTATCTAATGACTAAATATTTAATATTAAAAATAGTTCACCTTACATAATTAGTCCAGAAAAATAAAAAGTTAAAGTGTCAACTAAATTTTACTATTGACAAACAAAAACAGAAAAATACGAATAAATTTTAGTATTGGTAAAATATGATTAATATTTTTAGAAAATATTTGAAGCATTAATTAAATTATGAAATAATATGATTTGCAAAGTGCTATTATAATTTAAAATTATGATATCTTAATTGTATCAACTTGTCTCTGTAACAACTGGCCCCGTTCCTCTATATCGTTTTGATAACAGATATTTCAACATCAATTGCTACTTAATAAAAATTCGTAAAATTATTAACTTACTAACTGAGTATATTCCCCTGGGAGCGGGTTCTACGTCGCCAAGTGGCATCTTGACTTCAAAAATCTGATCCAAAGGTAATGTATCCAATGATTCTGCACGCTCCAAAGCAGCCATTGCACGTTCATTAAAACATGGAATAAACGCGTTTGATCCAATTAAACAACTTTTTACAGATGCACTGAGAGTCGATAGATTATTAAAGTTATTACTTCCATTGTCAGGTAAATATTCGGAGAATAGTACACAAACAGCACTACCCACAACAGCAAGAACAGTGGTAAAGATAGAGGAAACGCGGCAGATCATGATGTACTACTTGACTGACAAAAATGAATAAAATCTGATTTAAGATAAACAAGAGGATGATACCTTATTGTATCGTTCAATGAATGATATGATAATTTTCATTTAAATAGTTTGTAAAGAAAGTTTAGCTTTTCTTTCAAGTGCATCCAATTGACAAATAAATACAATAATCATTCGCAGAACTTATTACACATAAAGAAATTACTAATAAAATGACACACATCCTCCTATTAGACATTATTTATATTTTCATGGATACTTGGACACTAAATGTTTAAAAACAATAGTGTTCATAACGTTGATGTAAGTATTATAATTTTAATAGAAATCACGTCATGCTTACAATAAAATCTATTCACCAATTAGAATTAATGTGACAAAATTTTGATAAGAATATTCATAAAAATTATTTCACTTTGAGTGTTGTTCTCACTAAAGGACAGAATGCTACCACCTACTTTTTTATAATACAAATCATCTAAATTACATTTCATACTCATGAACTCATTATCGCTATTTTATTCTTAAAAATATATTTATTTTATTTTTTTATTTAATTGAGAAACTACAGAAAGGGTCAAAAGATAAGAACATATTGTACACGAAAAAAGTGACTGACATCTTTACAAAAAATCCTGAGCATGCCACTGTGAACATTTGAAATGAACAACTAATGATCTAAGCTTGTCCGATTTGAAAAATTACTTTAATTTGTAGTCAAAGATCAAAGTTGAGAAAACATACAAAAGTACATATAAAGAATATAATACTTGAAATTAGGCCATAACAGTCAAATGAATACATAGACTACAAGTGTAATTTATGTTTGTGTGTTGATAGTCCAAAATTCCTACACACAAGTGTTAATTTATGTTTTATTCTTAATTATCGATACCATTCTTGACTTATTACATTAAAGGCCCAATAGGTTTTTACGACTTATAATTAATTGCTTTAAATTTAATTTATTTATTATGCATAATTTGACAATATTCTAGCTTTCAAATGTTAATATATTTATAAATATCAATTTTTGCTTATAATTTAGCTAGTGTTTTATTTTTAAATGGTCAATTAACATTTTTAAACCAATATATGTGTACTGCAGTATCACTTTCTCGGTAACGCGTTGTAATAAACTTCCGAGATAATGATCTTAGTATTTTTTTTTTTTTATTTCATTACTACGTAATTATGAATTTTAATAAACGGAATTAGCAGTTCTCATGTTAAAATCATAACAAAATTAATTTGTCACGAATATTTACCGATAAGTACTATTTACTATTTTTATCAATAACGAAATTTCTATTTTCAACTAAACCCATGTATTATCATATAGCATGCTAAATTGTAAGTAACTGATACATTTTTTTAATTGAGTTTTAAATTTCAATAATAATCTTAGAATGTCATAATTAGTCTTAACAAAAAGCTTATAAATATTCATAGTATTTATTATAATAATATTTATAAAATGCTGAAAATTAAATTTAGAAATTGTATTTATCATTAGAAAAATAGTTTTTGATCATTAACGGACAAAAAAAATGTAAGAACAATTTTTATTTGATAAAATAAATTGTGTCATGTTAGCATATATATACTGTTTTGAATTTGGTACTTATAACTTTTGACACAATTATTTTTATTGATTACTAATAATAGAAAAATAAACATTTTAAGATATGTGACGAGTATGGAACGCGATGGGTACAGCTTGTACTGGTATTATTTATAATGCATACTTTCATCCGCGTTCCATACCCAATTAATATTTTAAAATGCATGTAATTCAATCAACATTTATCTAAAATTGATATTGACCATCAACATTTATTGTAAGAAAACGATTTAAAAATTACTATTTTGAAATGTTTTCATTTGTATTTATTTCATTTATTAGTGATAAATAATAAAAGATATACTTTATACGTAATTTAACAATGCAATTATTATTTTAAAAAAACTGATAACTCTATTAAAAGTTATAAGCGTTGTCATTTAGGTCTAAGACACCTTGTATAATATACACCACTTATTATAACAAAATTTACTGACAAATCTATGAAACTAATAAAGTAACATCACTATTATAGGCTCTAAATGTCAATTTGACCACATACAATACTTATTAGATCAAAAAATTAATATTTTTGTGAATAACAATCACTTGCTGTTTTCTGTATAGTTATATGTTATATGTATGTTAACTTATGTTTATTTAAATTATAATTATTTTATAAATTATTTATTATCGATTTATTTAAAGTTATAATTATGGTTATTCTAGATATTACGTAAATTATAACACTAATAAAATATTGATTAAAAATAAATTGAAATATTATAATTTTTAAATTTTTTTCTTGTGAATACTGGATTGGGTCACGACTGTTTTGAATTTCGATTGAAGTATTTTTAATAAATTTTATATTTTAAACATTTATTTTTCTGTTAAAATATTTTTCATTTACAAGAAATATCAAATTTTAAATTTTCTATACCTTAACAAGTTACATATTTATGACACTTGAAAAAAACTTCATATGAAAATTTCAACTTGAAATTTTATTATTATAATATATAAATTAACTTATATAATAATCTACAAAATTTCTATAATTTTTTTTATTTGTTTAAATTAATTTTGTGTTTTAGAAACATACAACACTATTATACGATTTCATAAGTTAAATTAATGTTGAATTTTTTTTTTTTGTGTTTATTTAAGTACACAAATGAATAATTGTATAACTGTAAAATACATTTTATAATATTTTGGATGAATAGGTTACCTAATTGAATGTATAAAAAAATCATAGTTACACGACAACAAAATTCTGTTAAAAAATCTGTTTATTCTACGAAGAAAATAAAAACATAAAACAAATTATTGTAATCGTTTCAATGATATCATGTTATTGTAAGTCACGTCAGGGTGAAATGAATGTATAAAATAAGTCAGTTACGTACATCGAACAAAATTGTTTTATTTAAATAAGTCTTTGATGTACATCATTCAGTACAATGGTAAAACGTCATATTACAATTAATTAAATAAAATAAATAATAACATTGGTCTGTAAGCTATGCTGTTCGGTCAGGTCTTGTAGTCTTTGGTTAATCGTACAAGTTTATTTTAGTAGGTAGTTATATTTAGTCAGTCATGATAGTCATACATTAATATCGAAAGAAGAGCGCGCGTGTTAGGTAAAACGAGTAGTCAGATAGAAGGTCAATATGGCGCTAGCCAAGAGAATGTATTTCTAATAATTTCTACTATAGATATTTTGAAACAAGTTTTGGAATATATTACCCTTTTTCGTTAATATTTTGTATTAGTTGACCTAAATATACAACGCGTGTATATGCCAATAGGTTAACTTCCGTTTTTTAATGGGGGCCTGCGTTCCTCGTAAACACGTGAACTTTATCTGAAAACTGGTTAGATAGAAACCGTTATCGGTCATTGATGATACGACGAGCTACATTAATAGTCTGTGAATACCGAATATTTCAAGACAGATGAATATAGAAATGCAAAAGTAACAAACGAGAATAAACGTAAAATAATGTCAATAATGAAATTATGTTTTCAAATAAATTAAGTTTTGGGTACGTTTTGTTTTTATCTATTTACAAATAAGTTATCATCACTAGATGGTTAGTGGAGATTCACATAAGGAATAGGGTTCCGCTATGTTATGATCTTAAGGTAATTAATGTTGACCACGGTAAGCCATATTTTGGGCGTCCAATGACCGTTTGTAATGGTGACCGTGTTCTTCGGTGTAATGTGGATGAACTTCGACGGATGGGGTGTGTTTGTTAGCCAACAATTTTTGGATTCCGATGATAACGGCCAAGACAAGAGCGATCTTACCGACAACGAGAGCTTTGAATGCCAATAAGGCGAGGGCACCAATAGCCAAAGGTATAAGAGCGATGGCCTTCATTTTCAACATCATCAACAAAGGCATCAACATTTTTTGTTGCTTCTTCTTCTTGCCTCGGGCTGCAACATAATAATATTGAATTAAAATCAACTCATCATTTTTCATATTACTATTATACAGTTGTAAAAATTATAAAAACACTTTTACTGTGATATAAAAACTTTTTTTTACAAATTTAGCAAATTAAGAAAACTTAATAATATAATGTTTATAACATAATAACATAATGTTTTAATTTTATTAAGATTTGTGGAACAATAGTTCACGGTTATTGTTTTCTTTCACATATGGTAATAGATAACCGATCCCAAAATATAGAATAATATACCACCCGGGTCATCATATAAAAAAAAGAAAATATTCTATTGTAGAAAGACGTGTAAGTACAGCTAACTCAATGCCCAAGGGCTAGTGAGATGATTGTTTGCAAAATCGTTTACATCCATTCAACTAGTGGCATGTGTGCAGATAATACACACAAGAGAGAAGCGATTACAGTTAAATAAATTATGAATATAAAACGATTATCGTCTGAGGCTTTACTGCAGAGAAACCGACCGCTTTACATTACAACAAAGTAAGTATAATAACATGAATTCTATGAACAGATTACATACACTTAATATACATACACATATACTATCCATCTATTATATGTTATTACTCAAATAATAAACCAAATAAATAGACGATTAAGAGGTGTACGTGTTTAACTAAATATTGAATTTTTTTATACAAAAGATAATCGTAATTTAGTAAAATCATTGCACAGTCATACTCAAACTAATATAAATTAAAGTTACTTTATGTATATAATAAATAAAAATGTATTAATGTTGTGATTGTTCATTTAAGTCTCTGGACTTTAATAACTTTACGTTTTAAGTTCTTAAAGAAAAAATTAAGCTATTTTATTAATAAAAACAATCATTACCTTCTTCGAGAGATCTCCTCATGCCAGAGATGCTGGATTCAGGGACTTTAAGTTGGAGAGTGTGGCTTTCGAAGAATCTAGCGATACGGTCCAACAAAAGGTTTTCGACAGCGGCATCTTTGTCATCGCCATCTTTGGCTGCGTTATCGTCCAATTCAGATTCAGATAAAGAACGTCCATTAAGTCCACGGGAAGATTCAACTGGTCCAGTTTTTACCAAACTGATACCTTCGAAGACGTCGATATCGTCAGACCGACGGAGAGCATGGTCAACATATTGTAAAGCTCTCATTTTCAAACAGGTGGCTACGTTCTTTTCGGAACATTCTTGCATGACTTTGTAGATTTTTTCAAGTCCGGCATTTTCGTCAATAACCGGAGCTGCACCCTCATCGGCGGCGGGGTGAGCGTACGCGGCATGGGCTGCGATCAGCAAAAGACACGAAAACACAATTTTCCTCATGATTGGTTATGTGTTATTAAATTATATTTATAAAAAATAAAAATAAATCAGGAACAATATATATTAATATTGAACCTCTTCACTACTTAAATAAAGGCACTGCACTGATCTCCCGTTTGTTGAGTAAGTTGTCTTTTATTCGACCGTTCTTCCACCTGTTTCTCGACTGGAGCGCTATCACCACCGTTTCCATGGACTGGACTTATCAGTCTGGTGGGGTGGTCGGTTTCCGATCGCTGGACCTTCCGGCGGGGGCACTCATCAGCAGCAGCCGCCGCCGGCCGTCTGAACGCCGGACTATGTCAACCTTGGCCGATTTAGGGATTGCTCGGAAACGGATGTGTATATGAAGTATCTTTCTCCGTTTATTCTCCATTGACCATTATACATTATTTTATATATCTTATTCCTTTTACCATACAAATGTACTTTTTTAATCAAACATCGGTCGCCTACGTGAAAGACAGGTCTTATACCGACAAATCAGTGCAAGTAGATGTTTCTGTTTAAATTTTTTTTTTCGTCGACTAGTGAACAAGATAAAAAACTTAAACCGAACTATAATCATATACTAAAATTATGTTTTTTACCGTATAATTTGGTGATGTGAACCATTAACGAAATATTTTAAAGCCTTTCTTACGCTAATTCTACCAAAAATTACACCAATTAAGAACTTATAAAAAATAAAATCATTTTATTGATGGTTTATATAGGTAACAATTTTGTTAGTTCAGAAAAAAAATCATACTGAGCAATCTTTATACTTAAATTAAATGTTCACTTTTATTAATTTTAACTCAAAATAAAGTATATTTTGTCTTATTAATGACTTATTAATGCGTTTTCCTTTTCTTGTAATACTTTGTAGGTTCCAATAATAAACTATTATTTGACATATAAATTAAACATTTTAATAATCAGCTTATTAAATTTAAGTGATTCATTTTTATAAAAGTTACTTTTATTTTATATTACTATCATAAAAGTACAACTCAATAATCACTTGGAGTCTTTTAAATGATATTTTAAAATATATAGTTATTGTTAAGCAAAAAGCACAGTTTTAAACATTAAAAAATTTTTTTTTTTTACAATTGTGTATAGTTCAAGTAAAATAATATTTTCATACTCGGCAACAGTCATAATTTGATTTTATTTGCGCATTAGAACTAATAGTTTTTAAAATTGGTCAAATTTGTTATTTTCACGATTTCTCCATTTTGAATAAAGACACCGATGACAATACTATTTGCTGTTGTAGTGCGTTAAATTCTTCACTTATACTGATTTCCGTTACTCAATTATACGGATGTTATTACTGTAACATTATGGAAAATGTAATAATAATCCATCCAGATTTAATGGTTTTTTTCATACACTCTGTCAAAACGAAAGCAAATATTTTATTGAATGAATCGCATACTGATGTGTTGGACACCAATCATACAATGTAACAAGATGATCGTATGTGTTATATCATAACACATATTGTATTGTAACAGGCTTAAATTGTTCTATGGCATGATTGCAATTATATCCGAATTCCCTACTAATTTGAGGAAGAGAAAACATGTTGAAACAGGTGAGAATTTTTTCATTAATTTACTTTTAAAATAGAACATTTATATGTTACAAACTACTTACAATGTAAAATTAATTTAAAGCGGTAAAAATCTATTTAATAGTCCAGTCTTAACTTTTAAAAGGTATCATTTAATTTTAGGGTGTAATGTTTATTATTAAAATAAACTTTATTTTCCATATGAAAATTCTCATAAATCATATTCAAAATTAAATCAGGGATTTTATTTTAATTAAATAAAACTAAAAATATTAAAAAACAACCTTTTTTTAATGTTTCGGGTTATAAGACTTAGTAAATAAATAGAGGTATTTTATTCATGTAAGTTCTTATATTAATCAATATTTTACTTATAACTTCATTAAATTAATGTATAATTGACCATCGTGAATTTTTTTAGATAATTTTTATTGCAGGTATATTAAAAATAATTTGCATTCTTATTGTAATCAAATTCTTATAGATACGAAAGTTTTAATACTATGTAAATCTTGTAATTGTTAAGATAAAGGATAGAAATAAAATCTACATGGTCGTACGTGAATAAACTACTTTTAATTTTAGATATTTTATTTTTATTTGATAGAAAAAAAAAAAGAGTTTACAATCATGAAGTAATGATAATAAAATATAATATATTTTACAAATGTTATGTTTTTATATATTTTTTTATAACTATTGCTGTATTCAGTTCATATTGAAAATAATATAATTTATTTTATAAGAAACATATTTCATTCAGTTATTAAATGAAACATTAAAAACGGAAAATAGGTAAGTATACTTTTATTATTTTTTAAGGAATGACAATTTTGAATAATGCATCATTACAATATACAGTTAACTATTTATGCTAGATTTTTAATTTTATTCGTAGTATCATTCTAATTTATACACAACATCATATGTACATTTAAATAAGTTCAACACTTGAAAACAAAAAATAAGTAATTGTAAAATATGAAATTCGTTTTTGCTTTTTTTTTTTGGCGAAATTTTGTTTAAATTTTCATAAGTATAATATTTTTATGAATTATTTTTCAATTACTATTTTGAATTGACAGAATAAAATAAAAAGGGTAACTAATTTTGAATATCTATACTAATATCAAACGATATCTTAAAAATCTTATTTAAATAGGCTATATGAAATACAAAAGTAATAGATTTATTCAATTAATTCATTATCATTCATTTTAGATACAGTTATTAAAACATAAAATTCTCCCCTCCTATTTCAAAATTTGTTGTTGTCTTAATCATTTACTGGAAATATTGCCAATAGAATATATATATACCTTAATAATGTATTTATATTATATACATCGACATACTATTGATTAAAATTTATTGTTGTGCTACTTTTTGATTTCTATTATAACTAATTATTTTTTTAACAAAATTTTATATATCATATAAATAAAAAAATGTATACTTATTAAAAAACAGGCATAGATTATTCGTTTTTAATAATTTCTAAAGTTTTATATAAAAATCAGATCATCAGTAAATATACTAATTGGATTGTTTTTTGAAAAAAAAAAAAAAAAACAAAATTGATTCATGCAATACATGAAAATTTATTTTTTATTAATTCGAAAATATCGGATTTTATACATTTACACATTTTGTTAAGTTATTCCCAACAAATCATCAACTTATACACATTTTTATTATTTGGCTTAAAACACAGTAATTTGACGAAACTGGGAATATAATTTTGAGGTGAAATAGGGAGATTTATGACTTCTAAAAAAAAAATATTTCTATGGTATTATATATTCCTACAACTAATTTGCACAAAGTTAGATATCTTCATTGTGGCTCAAACAAAATTTATAAATGCTTATAAATATGTTCATTATTCATTACTGAAGCAATTAATAAGTGTATAGAAGTTTAATAATAAAAAAACAAGTAACATGCAATATGAATATGTTTATAAAAAACTATAATAGTGATCGATAAGTATTATTTTTGTTAGATATATTAAGTAAGCGAATGTTATTTTTTTGAAATTACAACAAACAATTATTGAAATGTTTTAATTGTGTAATATGTAAGTTCTGTTAATAAAATTTGTTAATCATTTAGTAGTTTATAAAATATCGTAAGGTGTATGGATAGTGATTTTTGAACCAATTCACAAATCAAAATTTAAAAAGTGATCTATCACTGTGTTCGTTATATTAATGGCAGGCTCGTGTTTGCCTAATTCTTGTTGCTAGTGAACCAATCGTAAATATATAACAAGAAGACGTTTATAAAAATATGCTGCCAGATAAATGTCACAAAAAAAATCGCGGTAATTACCGTAATAGTGATATTTGATTTCGCTTGTGATACAATTTCGTTATGCGTAAAATCATTTTTTAATTGGTAGTTTTACAGGAGTTCGGAAATTTAGCCCAGAGGATATTTTCGTTTTTATCGACCAACTGTGTGGTATTCGCCAAAAATTTAATTGAACACCTGTTATACGAACTATGAATCATGTTTTACAAAATAATCATAAAAACGCACGATTTCAAAGTACAGTACTTAAGTGTGCGTAATGTGGTGAAAAAACCTGGGGTTCAAATTTATGTTCATCACGTTCTCGCCTAACAGCTATGGCCCAGTTATCGCAAAATGTTGGCTACAATATCTAGGTAATCCACAATGTTCACCAAGTCATCATTGGATTTCGATGCTAATAATAAATAACGATTTTGGTGTCTAACACTCATCTTAGTCGTTGTCGATAGAGGTCGGCATAAAAAGTTCAGAACAAATCTTTTATATGGAATCTTTATATCATGAAATAAATATTCGTAACGATACATTTTTCTGTGAGAAGATAGTACATTTTTATTAAATCAGTATGATTCAGTTATCACGAAATTTGGACCGGCACTTTATTGGTACACAAATTATAAAATAATAATGCATTGGTAAGTAAGTGGAAGCCGTAGTAAATAGTTGGATTTTTTCTTATCCTCAGAGAATAGAGTCTAACGTGTTTCTGACCTTCGTTTGAAGACCGTGACCCGTAATCATGTCAAGGTTACCACGCGGCTGCTTTAATATTATACTGGTAGTCATCGCCGACATCGTCACCGTAGAGATAGACTGCGTTGTAAGAGACCGGAAGCGCCTGCACTTGGTAAACGGTCTTATATAAATCGTAGGATTCGTACTAGATAAAAATCAGTGATTTTAATGATGCGAAACTTTCCAGAAGTTTATTATTTTTATTAGCTATCTTATTCGACTTTCTTTCTATAGACTCTGCAACAATAACCGCATAACATAGTTAAGATTTTTTCTGTCTGTCACATGCATTAAGTTACTACTAACAGGATGAATTTATGTGTGTGATTTATTTTATTTACTACCCGTGTTTGATTTATAATCGGTTCTCGTCCGATCTGTCTTATCACAGCAGTATTCTTACACGATGTGCCAATCCCATCATCTGCTAAAAACTAGGACCATCTAATTTCATCACCATGGTATTTTATCTACATCCGTTTTACAGAGAAAGTAAAACGCCC